ACAGACACCCACCTAACAATGTTTTGTCGACCTTTTAAGTCGCTACAAAGAGCTCTTATTTTCCATACTTTTCCTTAAACAAATGCATCAGTACATCACTCAGTTGTTACAACAAAGACTTACTCCCCCAGGCAGTGTTTCCTTCCCAGCTGTGTGTCACCTCCAGCAAGCTCTACCAACTTCCAGCTATTTGGATGAGCTGCTGAGTGCTCCTCCTTGACGTCACTCACCTGTAATCCATTCCCTCATCTGTCTGGACTGGATCTGCAGCGTGATGCCGTTTTTACGGGACAGCTGGCAATGTTTACTGTAGTGGGAGAGACTGACGGGGTGTTTGGGCCAAGAGTGGAGAACGGAGCTGCAACCTTCAGACCCAAATTTAGACGGGAGGTCTCAAATTGTGCAGAAAACTTAATTAAATAGTAACATGCCTGTCAACCGAACGGAGGGAAAATACAACACAACACTGGATTACACAGCTGGCCCAGATACAATGCAAAGGCAGCATGAAACCAGCAGAAGTGATGTAAAGAGTCAGGTTCACTTCAGGTGACGTAACTGAGTAGAGACATCTGCTCGAGTTGAAAACATCTCAACCTTCGGAGAGAAATTTACATGACGCAAGAAAACCAGAAGCCAGTCAGACTGTTTGCCGAACATTGTGCGAACTGATCCTGGCAGCATTGTTTAATGAACTCATCTGTCAGACTCAACTGGACCGTCACAATAACTGCATGAGGAGAGATTAATCTGAATATTTTGATAGTTAAAAAGAGGGATTGGTGAATGTGATTAGGATAAACTTTTCCTTTACCCCCCCCCCCCCATTCAGCATTAGTAAGCAATATACAAACATTTAATAAATAGTTTCTTACACATTAAAATGTAGTTGTCAGCAGATATAAGTGCAATTTTGAGTGTTTATTAATGTTATCATGTTTTATATTCTCACAACATTGTTTTTCCTCTGTTGTCTGCAGGACTTTCAGACTGTGGAGTTGATCATGACTTGGTGGCTCCACACGTATGTTTTCACTGTCATGATTTTATTCATTTAAAGGAACCCTGCGGAGTTTCTAACCACTAGAACTGCTGCGGAGAAATGTCTTTACGAGTGGGATCCCGTTTTGTTTGTGTCGTACTGGCACTTTTGTTTGCAAGAAAACGTCTATAAGGACACCTTTAATTCATGTGTAACATTTGTTGTCTGTTTATACAATCAAGCAACCACTTAAATGTTTACGGTTTATAAGTCTTCAGTATGGAGGGGTTGACGTACGTGTTAGTGGAGAGGGATTAGTTTAAGTCTGTCATTTTTGTGAAAACAAAGCCGAGAAGATAGGAGAGAGGGTGCACTGTAAAATGTAAAGGTTTCTGCAAATGAGATTTTAAACAATAATATAGCAGCAAGCAGCTATTTTCTATGTAACGATATAGTGGAGTAATGACGTCCTGAGCAGAGTTTCTTCCAGAATTTTCTTCACTGAAGAAACTGAAACGTTTTCATCTGAAAAGGCCTCCAACAAAGAAAGAGATGAGAGCGGGGCACAGGCGGCGTGGCCATGGGGAATATCAGCTCGGTTGGCTGGTAGACCATGAACCGGCTCCGTCAGTGTCATTCGTACAGCCCGGTCCCAGCGGATAAGTCCAAGGCTGAGTTTCTTTCCCAGTCCAACCGTGGAGTCAATACTGGTCTGGCTTTACCGAGATGAACGTCCCACCATCTCTTCTCCTCCATGTGTAAGTACCTTGATGCAACACAATGTTATATATCTGTTTTCATTAGTGACCGGCTACAGAAGGCATGACAACTTAGCTAATTTGCTGTAACCGAAGTTATGAATGTATTCAGCAAATGTTGCTATTGCTAGCTGGCTTAATGTTAGCATTGCTGTGGAAGCACATCACTGCAATGCTAACGTTGGCTAATTGTTGTGACTGGATTGTTTTTGTTGCCTCTCATATACACAGTGTGACTTTATTCAGTTGTGTTTCTTGTTGTGTGTTTAGTGGCCACTTTCACTGGGCTTCATAACACCTTAGGCCTGAGATGCTGGTGGTCTAGCGCGACATCTAGTGGCAGTAATTATCCTTTACAGAACCTTTAATATTGCAGTATTTTAATCCATATAATATACTGTACAATAAAGAAGCATCTTGTAGAAACTGCCAGAGTTTTCCTGTGGATTTAGGCTGTCTCAGTGTCTTCCGTCTCTCCGTGTGATCCCAGACTGATTCCATGATGTTGAGGTCAGGGCTCTGTGGCGGCCAGACCATCTGCTGCAGGACTCTGTTCATCTTGTCTCTGAAGATAATGTCTCTGGCTGTTTGTTTGGACTTGTTGATGGTGTTGCCATCCTCTTGTCATCTAAATTATGTACATCAACAGATTGAAAATCCATAAGCTGCCCTGTATATCACATAAAACTGATAAGAATGCATATTGATTATCAGTTTGTAGAGAACTGAGGAGAGTTCCTTTCAACTAAAACTAACCTGAAAATCGAAGGGACTGAGGTTTTCACCGGACAGTTTGCCACAGTGTGTGTTGTGTTTCCTAATTCTCCAAACTAAAAACTAAAATTCCTCCTCAGGGGAAGCACTGCAGAAAGTGTTGAAGTTGGCGGCGTCACCATCAGCCTCATACCGAGCTGTTTCGACAGTCAGACTGTGTTAAGTGCTGTGGGAGTGTTGCCGTGGTAACCATTTTGTGGAGTGTTTGTGAGCGTTTCAAGCTCCCGCGGGATTTTAGGGGGTGGGCGAACGAGAAAGTGTGTGTGTGTGTATGTGTGTGTGTGTGTGTGTGTGTGTGCGCATGTGTTTAAGCGTGAGTGTAAATCAGTGTTGGCTGGAGATGCCTGGGTGACCTAATGCACATCTGTGTGTGTGTTGGACTGATAGATGGAGAGAGTTTTTAGTAAGAGAAAAGTTCTACTTCTGTCTTTGTGTTCAGAAGCTGAGTCTCTTATCGTAGTGTCCAAACAGAAACAAACAAACAAACAAACAAACAAACAAACAGAGGAACAGAATGGGTGGGGTTAAGCCCCAGTCCTCTGACAGTGATGTGACTCTGTATTTGGAGATGGGCTCGTCGCCTCCAGCAGCTGCTCCTGTTCTGAGCTGCCATATCTTATTCATAACCTGCTGAACAGTAACCAGATCCAGCACACTCATTATCCCTTCAGCTTTGTTTTCAGGCTGCTGCTAATATCTGAGTTTTATACAGACCGAACAAAGACCATAAAGTATCATTTACACTCCTTCTATGACGATGTTTTTGTTTTAATTTGTGCTTCCCAGACCACAAGACACACTAAACCAGAAAGACAGAGACAAAAGCTCAAGCTCAGTTTGTCCTGGCCTGTGCTTCCTTCAAAATTCAAATGTATATACAGCACTGTGGAAAAGTTTTAGGTACTTCAGATGTTGATTCTTATCCGTCATCCAGAAGCATCAGGAGGCATCTGATCAGACCAGATTCATTCTGCAGCAGGAACGAGTCATAAAGAACTAGATGGTCTGGCCCCCACAGGGCCCTGATCTCAACGACATGGAGTCAGTCTGAGATCACATGAAGAGACAGAAGACACTTCTCCCAGATGCTGGAGCAACCATCCTGCCAAGTACCTGAAAAACTGTGAGCAGGTATACCAAGAAGAACTGGCACTGGTTTAAAGGCAAAGGGGCAGTCACAGCAAATACTGATCTGAATAGGTTTTTTCTGTTTGCAGCACTTTGTATGAAGTTAATTTATAATTAATAATTAAAGGCATTATTTTGAAAGCAAATTATTCATATTCATGTTTTTTGTTTTTTTGGATACAAATGTTACAAATGTTATTTACTTTTTAAAGTAATTGTAATAACTCCAACAGTGTTTCTAGATTAACTGGATCTTGGTCAGTTTCCCATAGTGCTCGTATCTGAGTGGTTAGGGTTAGGGTCAGGACGACACACAACAACTGATAACTGATGATCATTAAAACCAAATGTCTTTTCAGTTTATTACAACTGAGTTGAAATTTTTAGCTCTCTGACAAAAGACTTATATTTGTTGAACTTTTAACATTCAATGTAACATTATCCAAACTACTTTTGTTCTGTTTTATTTCCTCTCTTACACATATGCTCTGACTGGGCCGTCAAATCTGGCAACACTGACCCACAAAGAGTGTAAGTTAACACCTGAAATATTTATGCAGACAAACGGAAATCACAAAGAGGTAAGAAACTAGTTATTACTTATATTTAAGTTATGTTTAACGTTATATTCAGTTATTGTCTTTACTGAAAGAATTAGACACATTTCATGGTGTTTTCTCTGCTACTTGGAACTGAACAGAAATATCAATTAGTTGAATGCAGTTAATAAGTTAACTGGACCTGTAACATTCAACATGCATGTTTAAGAGGTTTGTTGAAAAGTGAGATACCCACCTATCAGGCTGTTTGAATGATAGTTTATAACTTCCCTCATTAAACAGTCAGGACTCGACTGATGGGTAAAAATAAATAAATAATGGAAATCAATAGATTCTCAGGGAATTCCAGAAATACAGTAAATGTTTGTTTTTGTTTCTATTGAGAAAACAACAAGAGAAGCGGATCAAGCTTCATGTCGCAGTCATTTTTGGGTTTTTAAAGAGCAGTGAGTCACACATGGGCCGGTCTCTCCAAACGTGTTTCTGTATATAAACACACAACTACAGTATACAGGCTGACACTCCCCTCATAGTACACATGCATATAATATTGTTGCTGATCCACTGTTATGATATCATCTTACTTTTCCCCTAGGGAGAGTCACGTGACCTCTGTTAGAGTGAGAGAGGGGGGGTCAAAATGCTTCAATGAAAACCACATGGAGGGAGGAGAGAGCTGCGACTAAACAGGGAGAGAGAGAGAGAGAGAGAGAGAGAGAGGGTGACATGAGCTACAGAGACAGAACAAGAAGAAAAACAGAACAGCTGTAGGAAAGGTCTAAGACTCCAGAACCAGAACCAAGATCAGATCCGGGAGCAGGACCAAAGGCTGTGACCAACCACCAGAACCATAACCCAGGACCACAGACCAGGAGCGGCCCAGTCCAACATGTCAGAGTCCATCAAAAGAAGGAGCTCCAGCAGACAGCTCCTGCAGAACCTGATCAGGTCAGAGAAAAAAGCTTTTAACACATGACAGCTTTGTTTTGTTTTCACTCGTAACTGCAGGATCAAATTAGCAGATTGCTAAAGGTGTATTCTCCAGAATCTGATCAATTTCGTTGTGGATCAGGAAAAACAACAACAATGTGATTAAAAGATTTCATGTAGTCGTCATCAAAGAAGAAAACATTAATTAACCAGTGGTGGAAACTAACTACATTTACTTATGTACAATTCTAAGATATTTGTCCTTTACTTTAGAATTCTCCTTTTATTTAATGTTTTAGCTTTTTACCAGAGGCTGACAGTAACTAAGTTCATTTAGTCAAGCTCTATACTTAGGGAGGGAAAAACTGTACTTATTACTCCACTTTTTAAATTGTATTTATCAGGTATAGTTGCAATTCACTTTTAAGATTATGAGCTCACTTATGAAACATAGGATCAGTTAATAAATTTGATGCACCTCAATTTTTCTAGTTCATACTAAAATTTACCCAGTGTAAAGTCTGTGTTTCTGAAATCAAAGCACAGAATAAATGAATAATAAAGATGTTTTACAGAAATAAACAAGGAATCGAATCATGGAATCTTCACTCCTAAATTCATCCTAACACACTAGTGGCTTCTTTCTACAATGGGAATCAAACATAACAAAATGTCATTATTTTGCTGTAGGATGAATCTTTTTTTACCTGGGAAGGTTACAGCTTACCTGTGTACTATTTAAGGTTGTTCACTAGACTTGAGCTGCTGAATAATAAAAACTGGAAAAATTAGGGTGTTTTCTAAAACTTTTAATTCTTAGTGTAGATTAAACTACCCAAAAGTAGTTAAAATTAGCTCCACTTTGACCAACTACAACATGAATGTACCACTTAAATATTAATGCATCATAAATAATGATTCAGTATTATAATAATAAAACACTAACTGGGTCATTCTGCTAAATGAGTTGTTGTACTTTAGATTCTTCCACCACTGGTTTTTACTCCACTACATTTATTTGACAGTTACAGTTAATACTTACTCTTCAGTTAAAGATTTAAGAACTTATGATCAGTACTGTACACATAGAAGCATATAAAATATATATGAAATGTAAATAATGTTATGGGCATCAACTTCTTGTCAGAAGACTTTTCTAGAACTGCTGGAGAAACGCAGGATTGCTTGTTTTTCTTACACTTCAACTTTAACTTCATTGTCTCCAAATGTGCATATACTTACTTATAGGAAAATAAATAAAATGTACAATTAAAACAATGTAAAACATTATGATAAAACCTCCAGCCAGTGGGTAAAACAAGATCACCATCATTGTACCTATATTATATGGAAAACAGATCATCAGAGTCACCCTGATCTTTTAAAAGACTGCCGGTGTAAAAAAGAAAACATGACAGTAATGTCTGTGTAGTTGATATATGTGCTTGAGGCATGAAAATCCATATTTGTTAAAAGAATTGGTTAAGTTAAGTTAAGTTGCAATTAAAAAAAAATGAGTGTGAGAGGCTGAGACAGATCTCAGTCAAGCATACGTGCACCAAAACATGCTTCTCTTCAAAAATGTTAACATCTCAGAACAGTTATTTCAGTTTCAAAATCTCTATCACGACACATATTACACACAAGTGAACATTGACGCCTCTTAATTTCCTTGTCTTTGACTGATGTGCTTCTGGCTTTAAGAAAGGTATACTTTGTGTAGCAGCGTTCACAAAAAAAAAAAAAAAAAACAGTAAGGGACCTAGAATGAAACCATGCGGAACACCAGACAAAAGATGCAGAAAACCAGCCTGTAGTCCACGATTCGGTTGAGACCATTTCAAAGTCTGCGGGCAGCACCTGTTGTCTGAGGCCATTTAGGTGAACAGAATACAGCGCTGAGTTTAAGAACTGCTGAAACAGAGCAAACCTCAACATCGACAGTCAGAAGGTATTTTAACATCATCAACATCAAAGTGTAATTAAAGAGAAAAAAGTGAGAGCAGCCATACATTATATTACAGCCCACACATCACATCATTGCTGTGCATGATGTAGTTTCACTCATTGACAAACATTATTACAATGTGTAGGAGAAAACAGTATAAAAGAGAGGAGCTCAATTACATCCAATATACATGGATTTAATATCATGTCTTCTACTTTATTCTATGATTTGGAATAAAGACATGTCGAAAAAATGCGGCTATATTTTTAGAAACTCTCTCCTAGCAGGCATGATGGTCCACATATATGTTTGTCTAGTATGTTTGTCTATAGGAAGTTTTTTACTATCACCTTAGAGGGAAAATTACAATTTAATAAAGTCATGTAATAATACAACATGTGAGCAAACATGGCTAAACTTGAATGAGGAACCTAATAATTATTTCTTTCATTACACAGCAATTATAAGGTATGTGGGCTATAATATACCGTGTGGCTGCTTTTCTCTTTTTACTCCTTAATTACATGGTAAGAAAAAGGTTGTTAAAACCATTTTCAAACTTCAGTTTTGTTTCCCAGAGCTGTTGCATGTAAGTACCCGATATTTACAAAACTAATTAGAGTATATTCGTTTCTCTTTTCCTCTAAAACGCCCAGTTTGTCCTCCCTTGTTCCCCACAGTCTTGTTTTCTTCCAGTAGCAACCTGTCAGTGTATCGAGACCTGATTCATCCAATGAAATAACAGGTAAAATAACAGGGTGTATGATAAAGATAACCACCTGTTATCATATAGTTTTGTTGGCTTGGTTTGGGCACTTAACGCAGTCTGTTCTGATTCATCGAGCCTAATTTCTTGAGTTGTTTTTCACATTTGCACCCGTCTCCTAACTACTGCTCCTTGTTGTCAGTGAGGTTGTTGTTTCCTCTGTGATCGGTGGAACATTGCTGTGTGACTTCACCGAAAATGACACTGAGCTCCGAGTTCAATGGCTTCTTTTATAGCTGCAACCTCCTTAATGGCCATGACATCATCTGGCTGAGTCGTAAACCCCCCTCCTGCACCACTACACACACACACACACACACACACACACACACACACACACACATCACACACACAAAGAAAATGCCGTTCCCCAGGCCTCCATTGCCTCATTGTGTAAATGGTGGAAAAAGTGATTCGTATCAGAGAGATTTCCTCCATAATTTGCTCGTTTCACATTTATGCTTCACAGCATCATGTTAAATGTCCCAGCAGACCCTGAAGATACCTTTTGCACCAGACTGCCCTGCAGAGACAATACTCTGTAACTGCACTTACTGTGAGAGTAAGGCAGAACAGACACGTCTCATCTAAATATACTGGAGTTATACACTTCCCACAGTGTCTTTGAATAGATGCAGGTAGTGACTTGTCGCCCCTGTCTCCCAGGAATAACGTTTCTAAACAACTAATCGGCAACAGCAAATACATTTTGTAGGAAACATAATCGCTGGCTGGATCACGTCCAGAGGCAACGTATTTTTTACAATTTTTTTTTTTACAAATAGAGCATTACATTTATTAATGGCAGCACAGTCACCACGAGGTCAGGAAGTGATTGGGGCGGATGGGGGGTGTATGAAGTGCAGGACTGTGACACCAGAGACAGGGTTCACATCCAGAGTCTGGCCAATAGAAGCATTTTGGGTTTGGGTAGGAAAAGATGACGGTTTGGGATAAATGTTAATGAACAGGTTGTGTCTGAAGTCACTGTGAACTTTTTCTGTATTAAACCAGACCAGGATCTTTCCCTAACCTGAACCTAGAGCTGTGAGAGTCTAAACAGAACCATAAAACAGTTGATAATGTCAGAGTTATTATTAGTGGATATAGTATTCATTCTGATGGAATATTATTAGTATTGATAGACATTTTACTGATACTTTCCATATCAATGTATTTACCAAATATGTACACGCAGGCTGTATCAGATGGCTATCCGATTAGTCAAAGACACAGGAAGTGGCCAAGTATAAAAAGTTGCATGAAAGCAAAGAATTATTCGCTGATGTGTCTTTCTTACTTCACTCGCTTACTCATATGGTGATGTACTTGGCACCAACCGATTTTAAGTCCAGGAATCAATTTAAAAACTGTTACGCTTTGGTGAAATGTTTGATTTCACCTACGCTGCTGTGAACCGTAGTTCCTGGGCTAAAATGTGCAAAACCACTGATATGGCGCTTTAAAGATTTCATGCCCCTTCCCCTTGTTGCATTTCAGACAGCAACGACGAGGTCCAGGCAATCAAACCTGATCCCCACTTGACCCATTTCCCCCCGAAAAATGGCCTGACCGAGACGCTGAAACAGGCCTGTCACACATCAAATCGATTTACAGTGAACTAAAGACTGATTCCTGCCAACATGGCTCCCACTACATCTCCAGTGAGCACGATCTTATGTAGGTCACTTTCCCACATAATAATGACCGCAGCCTGTTTGAATCGCAAACGTTCATGGCCAGTGTCCTCACCAGCAGATTTAACCAATGACATTTTCATTAGTCTTTTATATCTGAATTTGTTTTTTGCGCATTAAAGATGCTTTTTGTGATGACCTCATCGGGACAAATGTTTGATGAATCGAGGGGTTGACATGTTTGGAAAATTAATCATATTTTTGGGTGAAGGCCTTTGCATTTATTTGAGCCGCAATAGGCCAGTACAAAGACGAATGGTCTGCATGTTTTATGAATTCTTTTAATGAAAGCCATGCGGCGCTGCAGTGTTGTGATCATCGCTAAATTCACAAGCTGCTTCTACCAGCAGATTTTCCTGAGGATTTTCAAACAGAGTGAGCCCTCCAAACAAAGATGGTTACCTGCCAAAGATAAAAGAAACAAAATGTGAGAGTCTTCCTCTCAACAAAATGTTAGTGCTACAATAAATCCGGTCCGATATGAAAACGTGCATCAACCTCTGAACACACAGCTCAGTTCTAGTGGTAGAATTACTGGTGTTACCCACCTTCTCCTGGCCAACTCCCCTTTTATATGCTGCCAGACTCACTGTCAGCCATAAACATGAAAGCATTACAAACTTAAACACTCTTAAAAACACACTCGAGGTGTTTCGCTCAGAGGTCTAGACTCAGTATATAACGCGATAAAAATAACCCCTGAGTGTAGATACATGGATCTGCATCGCTTCATTAAACCACTTCACCTGTGCATGGCTCCGTTTTGTCTCAAAAACCAAAACCTGCAAAACAATGTAGTTCCCTCGTAGCACTTCAACTCCAGTTGCTTAAATATTTTTATTACTTAGATGTAAGATTAGACCTCTTTCTCTGTTCTGTTTTCATTTATCGAGTAATGTATTCTTTTAAAACAACTTTTTTGTCAAAAAATGCAGAAAATGTCTTAAACTAGTGTTAGAAAAACTACAAAACATTAATCTTAGCCAGCATACATTTTGTGTGTCTTTGTTTTTGGTTGTACAACCTCTGTGTCAACCTCTGAATATTAATCATCATATAATTAATCAGTGTCAAAACTTCTGCCTTCACAGTAAATACTTCAACATTTACTTTTATTGTGAGGATATACAAGATTTATTTTCATGTATTTTTGTAGGTTGAAACAGTTATAAAAACACTGATGGAAAAAACTGCTCATAACTGCAAACACGGTGACATCACTCAGATCATTCAGACAGCACGCAGGTTGTTTAGTCAGATGATGTAAATCACTTCATTCGGAGGTAAAAGAGAAAGTGAGCGCACCCGATATGTTGGTAGTAATCCCTCATTGCACAGGAAAACTGTGGCAAGTGCAGGAAGTCAAGAGAAGTTGGTCGGTAAACTGTGATGGATGTTTATGGATAGTTTGAGTAATAATTTTATCCTTCACCTTTGTTTTCTTTTCTAAGGTTTAAAAACTCTCAGATTGTCTGACTTCTTGTGTTTCTTTTCCGTCCAACTAATTTTTATCACTGTTGCAGTTAACTTGAACAATCCCACCATGACTGATAAAAAATAGAACCCAAGTTTTGATAAACTGGAATTTTCCTTTAAAAACAATGACATAAGACTTTGGAAAACTTGTTTGTAGCCAACCAATGTCCAACAACAGTTTCTGTTTTCAGAGGTGGACAGTCTCAAACCGACAGCCAGTCAGATGGCTGACTGAATATTTCCAAAGTTCTTGTTATTCCAGTTTTCTGACAAGATGTTCTCCAGACCTCCATAAGTATGATGGAAGTCTGGAGGTCTGCAGGATTAAAGTCTCTCTCCATCCTCCGTTCTGCTCCTCCTCCGTCTCTTCACCTCCTCCCTGCCTCCCTCCCTCCCTCCCTCCCTCCCTCTCTCTCTCTCTCTCTCTCTCTCTCTCTTTGTTTCTCTCCAGAGATTGAAATTAAGTGAAACAGCACAGCAGCTGGCTCAAGCTCCACCAGATGTGCTTTGACAATAAAAAGAGTTATTGTTATCAAGTCCCGCCCCCTGGAAACTGAGGCCGATCAGACAGAAGAAGTGAATGAGCTTTCTATGAAAAAGAAACTCATATTTTCCTCCGATTTTTAAAGTCCACTTACCTGAGAAAAACCTCTTACGTAAACTTTTCCATAGAGATATTTCACTGTTGTACCAAGAAAATAACAATAGGAAATGTGAGTAATGTGTAGTGGAGTGACAAAGTGGTTGGTAGAGCAGATAACATGGTTTGAATTTTCATTTCTCGACTTATATGTCATATATCTTCTTAATGCTGCACCATTTCCTGCTGTGTAGACAATAGAGTGCTTCTGTCTTTGCGGCAAGAGTTTGTGTTTGTCTCTTTCCTGTTTCAACGAGACATTGCCCCTGTGCACAAAGCCTTTATTATTATTATATTATGTATGGAGCTATACATAATATAATAATAATAAAGTTTATTTATATAGAACCTATCAAAATCTGAGATTACAAAGTGTTTCACAAAGATAAAATAACAAAACAAGTAAAATAGAAACACAAATAAGCAATGTAAAAGTATGTGAAATATTTAAAAGAGATTATGAAAAAGCTTAGTGACAGAAAGTGATATGTTTTTAGAAGTGATATAAAAGAAATAAAGCAATGATTTCCCCAGTTTGGTGTGGAAGAACCTGACTGGTCTACACAGAAACCTGAATTCAGCCCCTTTAGGATGAACTGGAATGAGTCAGACTTCATCACCCAACATCAGCTCACTAACACCCTCGTGTCTGAATGGGAGTAAATCCCTGCAGCCAGGTTCAGCATCTGGTGGAGAGCCTGACGCCAGAAGAGCGGAGGCTGTTGTAGCAGCAGATTGATGGTCATGCTTTCAGAATCAGATGTTCGGAGTCCACATACTTTCGCCCATGTAGTGTATCTGGAGGCCCTGAGGATTGAGGGATTTGCAGCAGCTGTGGAGGTAGAGGATGGAAAACCAACTTTACCATCATCATCCTCAGTATCTCTATAACAACAGTATGGTCTACTATCTTTTCAAGTGGCTACAAACATTTGAAAGTTGTGTGAAGAAGTCATTTCCACAACTAGTTTTGTTCATATTTGTGGTTTATGTAGGATTAACCATAGATATAAAGATGCTCCGTGATGTCACCCATGAAGAGCGGTTTTGAAGCTCAGAGTGAGCTGCTGCGCTACCACCGTCTTGGCAGTGTCTGACTCCGCACCTAACTCTCGGTTAATCCAAAAATGGGCAAAGAGGTGGGGCTGGTGTGGAGCCAAAATTTTGGTTGATGCCACTTTGAAGAAGTAGTAAGAAGAAGTAAGAAGAAGTATTTTTCAGCCCCAGAGGTTGATGCTTGGGATAAACAGAAACAATGTGTGAACAAATCAACAGATATGTATTTGTAATGTCCAAAGATACTTAATATGTCAGGATGAATTTTGGATAAAATGATGCATAAAACATTTAGAATATTTGATAGAATCATGAAAAGGAGTTTTGATCTTAAAGCTTTAGTGAAGAGCTGGAACAAGCGAATATATAATATTTAGTGTATGTGATACTGTCAGACTGTGGAGTAAGATGAATTTACCTTAAAGACACTTAAAAAGGGAAGAACAGAAACATTGCTGACATATGTTAGCCATGTGATAGACTGGCATCTGGCACAATGTGAGCTGGGATTGGTTCCAGCCCCACGTAACCCTCGAAGGATTAGCATTATAGCTAATGAATGGATTGATGGATGGTAGAAAATTGTATGTTAACCATGGTTGTCTGTTGGATCGTTCTGAATCCTGGTACTGCTGCTCACTTTTCACATATAGAAGCTCTTCATATTGAATGTTTTCAGCTGTTGGAGACTTTAAGGTGTTATCTGACTCCTACAGTAGGAGTGTGTGCTGACGGCCTGTTGGTGTCCACGCTGACTGCAGGGTGACGGCCCAGCGGAGCCAGGAGGACGCTGAGGAGGTGGAGCGGGAGCGAAGGAGGAGAGCCAGGGAGAGGCAGAGAGGAGAGGGGAGCCCCTCCTGGACAGAGCCCCCCCATCACAACGACCTCACACAAAACACGGAGTGAGTACAATACAATCTCACAGTGTGTAAATATCAACCAGTCAGACTAGAAACAGAGCTGGAAGAGCTTGTTGTGACGTGGCTGTGGATCTTTGACTTTTAGTTGAATTTTTCTTAACAAAAGTCTCCTGTACAAAACAAAGATTTCACCTCACTAATACAGGGATGTCCATGTTCGTGCACATCCAGCCTAGTTGTCACTAATGATGTAGGAATAGTTAATAATCATCTATCAAAACTTTATAGACCAGTAAGAAGCCATTAAGAAAAACTTTTGGTTTGCCAGGTTGTAAAAAAAAAACCCTGACTGGTGCTTGTCCTCCTCCAGCAAAACTTGGTTTGTTAGTTGATAGATCTGAGTCATGTGTGTTGAATTTTGGTAGTGGGGCGACGCATTTGTTTGCTTTTAGATCACAGATTGGACGCACACAAGACAATCTCAGTCCAGATTGTTCTTGTTTGTGGTTCCCCCAATGTTGGAACCAGCTACCAGATGCTTTCAGAGCCAGGGCGTGCCTCTGTATATACAAGAACCTCTTGAAGACTCCTCTCTTCCTAGAGCACCTCCTCTCCTCACACCTCTTAACACCCTCACATGTCTAACTAGCACTTACTATGCACTTTCAGTGCACTTCTTCACCTGATCTCCTTGCACTTTACCTTACTGAACAGGTTTAGTACTTTACTTCAATGTCTCCAACTACACTGAAGCTTTAATGTTGCCACTCTTTAATGTTGTGACTGAGTAAACTGTCCTTCTTGTTAAAGCTCAGTCTCCATCAGCTGCAGTGCTGATTACAGTGGAAAAGAGCTTGTCCAGTGATGCAGCAGGTGAATGAGCTGAGGAAGCTGCTGCACCATCAGTTTTTGGTTGTTTGGTCAGATGAGGTCTCTCAAGGGGAAATTTCCTCTTCACCTGAGACTGTGCGCTGCTGAGCAGACTCATTTACTGCACTGTGAAGTAAACTCATCAAATAAAGCCCCGCTCAGTGGTTTAGTCATTAGCTTCACGGTTCCTCCTGACTGGAGATTAGAATATTATTCATCTAACTACTAGTTCTGTAAGATAGAAATGGCTATATTGTACATAATTAATAATATATATATATATATATATTTATATAGTGGTAAGTATAATTAACAGAGGTGAAACAAAGACAGATACCATTTGGAAACCACTGGAGAAAACATCTGCTTTTATCTGGGTGATTAGTGCCGATGAGGTTCAGTCTGCCGATCTGAGTTGACCTGAAACAGGAGGCAGCAGTGTCTCTCTGTTTGATGTTTCCGTGGTTACTGTCTCTGTTGCCATGGAGCCTGAAGCCGCACGTCCTGTCTGCCACCTGCCGCCTCGCTCAACACTCTGCCCTGTTGGAGACCTCTGGGTGATATGAAAAACACTCGGTCACCTGGGGAAGAAACTCAGCTGCAGATGAACCACCGTCTTTGATTTCAGCTGCTTTTTAACCTTTTCAACCAGAGGACCGTAGACAAGAAACAGACATCTGTGGCGGTAGTTTGGGTTAAGTATATTTTTTTCTGAAGCCTGGTTAGAAGTGAGCTGAGTGTGAGAGGCTCAGACTCCTGTCAATAAAGTCGACATGCCTCAAAAACTATAGAGATTTGAATCTGTGATCACAATTTTTGTGTTACATTGTTATACCTGCCCTGGACTTTTTGACACTTAACAGGAAGAAAAAAAATAATGTGAAATAAATAAATGAAATAATTAAAGTAAAGACATAAATACAAGGGAAACATGCATTTTTGGGTTGCAACAGAAAACACATTAAGTAGAACAAAATCAAAAGAGTAGTGAGGTGTTTTCATTTTCTGCCAATAACTATTAAGGTTAGGTTTAAGATAAGCTTTTATTGATACCCAGCTGTTTACAAAGCGATTATAATTGCCTTTAGCAGCTGCAACATTAAAGTGATGAACACATTCATGCATCATAAATTTTAATCCAATAATATAATATATTTTATTATTCAGAAATGGACCATTCTGCAGAGTGAGTACCTTAATTTTGATACTCAAGGTTTATTCTAATGCTTTTACTGACTTATATGTTTTATGTGTTTTTATGTGGTTTTGCTAATTTTACTTAAGTTAAAGATCTGAGCTCTTCCTCCACTGTTGCACAATATATATAAACAGGATGCAGAAATGTATTCAGTCTACAAACACCAGTATTTAGAAAATTTTATAAATTTAGAGGATAATGTTTAGACCATATGCTTTTAAATATTAGATAGTCTTGATTTTTTTTTGACAAAACTATTTATGAGCTGCAGTCGAAGAGCAAACACATGTACACTACATATGGTCTTCATTTCCTCTGGTGTGTGTCATGCAGCAGCTCAGTAAAGTAGTTTGCATGTTTTCTTCTCTGAGTTTTTTATGCGTCTGCTGGGATTCAGACATTCAACTGGAAGGTTCATCCTGGCTCAGAAAGAGAGAGAGAGCTTCAGTCCCACTAATCCAAGCCAGAGAGAACATTCATCCAGTCCTCTAAGGGAGCTGCTCTGCATTTGTTCCTCAGGTTGGACGAGGAGCTGAAGCCCAGCTGCTGCTTGGTTCTGGAGGAGGACGAAGGCTTCAGCGACTGGAGCCACAGGCTGGAGAACCGCAGTGAGCAGGAGGTGCAGGATGACAGCAGGGCCAGGGTGCAGACACGTTCAGCACCACAGTGGAAACCACGGCCTGAGGAGGAGAAACTGAAGGAGGATGTAGAGAAGGAGAAGGTGGAAGGACGGGAGCCAGAGAGCAGCAGTCGGTCCCAAGAAGCTTCAACAAGACCTCCAGAGAAGGTACAAAACCCAACAGAACAATACTGTCAGTACTGGGGCTTTCAGGTGGAGCATAACAAAGATGAAGATTCTCAGTCATCCAGGTATCTCAGAGCTTTACAAAGGCAACCGGACTCTCCTGAGGTTCTTGCAAGAACGCAAATGTTAGCTCGCTAATATTCAGCACTGTTAAGATGTTGAAAGCCATGTTGTCGTTAGCATTAACCCCAAAGGGTCATTGTGCAGCCTCAGAGAGCTGCTAGCATGGCACTAGACTCTTAATGTTGTTTAAATATTCAATGTGAAGGTGAAGGCAGTAACCATGACTACCATTGTAATTATTTGCAAGTACTTCAACGTTCTTTATTACTTTCTTTTTTTACACTCGGAAAGAGCACATTAAAGAACAAGAGCCCTGGTTTACAAGCGTGCTGAGTTTACATCGTAAAACAGAAAATGCTAATACATGATAATTGTAAACATGATTAAACTGAGCAAGCGTTAACCAAAAGCATCAGTTTTATTGAAAAGTGTCATCACTACAAAAAGTACAGCTAATTATGCTCTTAATAAGCTCTCTGATGCCACTTCAAACTCTGTTGTAAATGACTCCATGAACTCAGTCTTTAATGTTTGAACTTGTGGATGAAGTTAATCTGAGGAATACTTCTGCATCGTCACTGTAGAGAAACATGTCGACCTGCTTTGCTTTCTGTTTATTTTAGATGTCCAGCAACAAAAAGGACGTCAGGACGTCATATAGCTCATCAGTCTTTCTGCAACAGGACGCCAGACTGCAGCACGCCGCAGGCCAACCAGCAGACAGGACGTCCTACCTGGCAGCAGGGACAATGAGGCCACGGTGTGTTCTCCCTCTCCATCTTTTTTTTTTTATAACCCTAACTGTTGTCTCATGATTATTGTTGTTCTCTTGGTTCAGTGTATGGTATGCTGTGTTTGCATCCTTGGATGCTCTGATCAGTAACACTCTGACTTCATTAACCAGTTCAGTTATCTCCTCCACAGCGGAGGGGCCTGCAGGGTGGATGGGGAGGTGGAGCAGGAGGAGCTGAAAGTAGAGGAGGAAGAGGTACAGCCCACTTTGCAGAGGGAGTGGAGGTCAACAGAAACCCGACAGAGCCCCGCGGATGAAGACGATCTGGAAGAAGAAGAAGAAGAAGAAGAAGAAGAAGAAGAAGAACTGAGCTTCACACATGAAGAAGGGGAAGACCTCCACCTCAGGAGGGAGCAGAGACACAGGGAGGAGGAGGAGGAAGAGGAAGAGCACAAGATGACAGACAAGGTTGGCTTTCCAATAATACTATTACTACTGCTGCTCCTCTACTGCTCTTACTAGTACCTGTATTTTTTGTTCCACTAGTAAAGACAGTTGTCATGTGGTTGGTGTCTCCATCATCTGAGTCCACACCAAAATATGTTGGAAACTACCATCCATTCGTGGTCACCTGAGGATAACTCCTTGACTTTTTGTCAGATCAGAATTTCCCCTCGACCAACATTTTAGTGCATGACAAAATATCTTGAAAACTAACCGCCTGGTTTTCATGAAGTGTGCTCTAGATATTCATGGTCCCCAGAGGATGAATCCTTATGTTTTTGTTGACTAGATGACCTTCTCTCAAGCACCACAATCACATGCATGGGTTTAGTGGATAAACTGTCACTGCTCAGAAGATTTCTCATAATCTATTAGTTTATTTAATTATTATTAGTTTTTATTGTATAATTTATAGTAAAATGCCATGAAACGTGTTGAGCACATTCAGACTCCCAAGCAGATAAACATTTTTAATAGCAAAGCTGCACTGTGGAGTTCTGTTTACACTCAGTGTTACCCACTAAAACACACTGTGCATATCCTCAACAACAAACATGTTGAATCCATTTCCTCCCTCATAAAACATTCACAAAGACATTTTTTCTTAACAGTTTTGAAACCTGCTTGGTTTATATGTGGAATAATTTTAGTGGAATAATGTGAAACCATTGGCAGGAATGTGTTTTGTGACGCTGTGCATGTGAACGACAACATGCACAACAGGGACCCACTTGTAAAGACATTGCCTCATAGTGCTCCACAGGGTACCTTTAATGTCCATATGTCATCACACCAGTGCCACCACAAGGATGAACTTTTTAAAACATATGTTGTGACACTTTCACATAGTGGGGTGTTAACAAGGGATTTTATTCTTGTTATTCATACATAACATCTGCTTCTTAGTGTGCTGGCATAACTCCCAAAAATGTGCCTGTTTCTCCCAGTGTTATATAGAATATTTCATGAAGCAAATGCATGCTTATTATAAAACTCACAGAGGAATTTGGCTTCAAATCTGAAAGTAATAAAAAAGAAAAACGCTGCTCCATCTCGTGTGTTAGATGTTGCAACAAATTCCAACTTTTAGCACCAGGGATTTGCCAGTTATTCATTAGTCTTTTCCACCAAATCACACAGTGTGGGTTAGCAAGGTTTAAAAGTGTGAATAATAATGTAAAAGAGAGAAAGAACAGATATTGGAGAAAACTGTTCTTGAGATCATATAATAGATCAGCACTACAAAATCTGGACCAGCACTAGATGACTGATGCCACAAAACCCAGTTTCGCATATTGATCAGGTATGATCAGACACCCGCTTATAAAGAAGTGACATCATGAAACGTGTGTGTTGGTTTGGTTGTAGAGTTCAGTGGAAAGCAGAGACAGGAGGAGTGAGGAGGTGAACAGAACATCTGCAGTTTCTCTCGGCAGCAGCAGCGAAGGCGAGGAATCGCTAAACTGCTATGGTCCCATGAGCCCGACGTTCAAGGTATCACATGAAACCAAAAGTGGTCCGTACAATTAAGTGTCTCTGATCCAAATATAAACTGAAGGTACTACATGTTTCATGAGTAATTTAACTCATTACTTTTGCTGTTGAGTATTGGAGTATATCCTGATCTGATTATCTATTTTCCTTTGTATCGCACCTGCACGGTGCACTGTTTAAATTAAAGGTCCCATATTGTATAAAGGTAAATTTCCATGTGTTGTTTGATCATAAAACAGGTCTATGTTCAGTATTAAAACTGTGAAAGTATCAAAGTGCTCAGTCCACAGAAAAATGAGCCTTAAAACGAGCTCTCAGGACTTCTGTAACTTTGTGATGTCACAACAAAGCAGTCACCATTCTCAGCCACGCCCCAAGCCCCGCCCACCTGGACCCAACATCCTTGCAGGATTTAGTGTTTGCTCTGAGTGTTTACCTGAAATCTGCTGTATTTTTATTCAATCACTCAGAAAACAGTCAGCCAATCAGAAGAGAAGCTCAGAGCCTCCTCTCTTCTGATTGGCTCACTGACCTGTTGTTATTAGAGCTCCAGAGAGAAGCCTGAGAGACGAGATGTAAAACTACACTGAGATGGTTTTTGGTTCTTAAAACCACTAATATATTTTCTTATGGATCAACACTTCACATAAAACACAGGAGAAGTGTAAAATATGGACCTTTGAATAAAGTAAAGACAACCATCAGATTTTAGAGACACGATGTTTGGAAGTTGAATGTTTATAACTGCACATCACAGACATTTAGATCAAGTGTGGAGAATCTGAACTAGTTTCCCTGGAAAACTACATTTCCCATTAACCTGTGATGATATACTCACTTTTTTCCTATTGTGTTGTGTTGACTATCTTGTCTCTTTCATGCTCCCTGCTGTCCGACCAGAAACTCCTCATACAGTTTTACCCAGTAAGTATCTTGCATGTATCATCTGACCGTTAATCTCTGTAACAGTTTGCTTTTGATTTGATTTGACACTTTATGTTTGAAACAGGAGAAACTTCCTGCATGTCTGAGTTGTACTTACAGCCATTAGGCCGACATGTCAGAGCTGCTGGATCCTGCAGTGATCACTCACTCAGCTCACTGTCTCTTTACAGGATGAAGTCAACAGCAGAGTCTCAACAGACGGAAAATGCACGGTGAGTGCAGATATGGTCGGGGTCAAAGGTCAGCAGCTGCCTAAAGATTACAAAGGTTGCAGGCATGGATTGATTATCAGAGGTTAAAACTCTAGCAACTTGCAGTATGCAGGAGAACTGTATTAAACCATCACGTTTCTCCTGTTTAGTGCAAGTGTTGCTTTGCTTCTATAGATTGACTATCAAACACGGGCCCCCTGACCTCTCTTTGTGTCTCTGTTCGAAGTCACTGTTGATATTGGTTGTTTGAAGGTCAAAGAGCTCAGTTAAAGACACAAAAACAACATAAAGAGATGTAAGATTATTCCAAAGAAAAGCAAAATAACAACAAAGACACAGAAAATCACTCCAAAGACACAGAAAACCACTGCTAAGACAAGTAAAATGACTTCAAAGAGATGAAAAGCATCAACGAAGAGACACGAAATAACTAGTCAACTATGTAGAGATGCAAAACAACTTTGTTTGTAATTGTTTTGGGTCTCTTTCAGTCTGGGGGTCCTATATGGATGTGGTAGAGGGTTACAGGTTATGGTTACAAGTCACTACTCCCCTACTCTTTTCCTCTGTTACTGTCTTATTTTTCTTTCCTTATATCATTTAAAACAGTCAAATAAACAGAAACAGAGTCTCCCTTTTGAGCAGCCCCCTTTTAATTTAATCCATGTTCTAGATTTGAGGGGTTCTTTTTAACCCCACCCTTAAAAACCAGCCAGTAAGGGAACATAAGTTTCTGCTTTGCTCGATGAAAAAAAGTCAGTTTTTATTTTGTACAAATAACAACTTTGTGTCAGTTTGTAGGTCTGAACCTCAGCCTGCTTCAATAAATCTCTGTGTTACTGCAGGTTTTTTCCCATGTGTGGGTTATAAGGATAATTCCTGTGAGTTTTAACCATTGATTGTCTTCATTCTTCCCTCAGATCATGGAGAGAACTGAGTCTTTGAGGAAAAGGTGAGTCTGTGTTGATTGGCCATGAGATAGATTTAAAAGCAGGACGGAGCAGTGTAATAAAGCAACAAACCAATGACCCTCAGTGGCTGCTACAACAAACCAGACCTTTAGAAATCCGTTCTTCTGTGGGTTTGACGCAACCATCGAGATTCTGTCGGCCTCCGGCATCACTCCACCTCTTGGAAATGTTCCTAAGAATGAAAATCTAATTTAATTGTAGATACAAAGACAAAGTGCAGCGCTCTTCAGATTAAAGTCTGATTTCTCCTAAACAGACACATTGCTGATAAAAAAGCATAATTTGAAAATTATAATGTATGTGTGTGTCCATTTTAATGCCTGTGAGTTTATGTGTGTCTCAATGCAACTACATGTTTAAATAAATTGATAATACATTTAATAATAAGTAATCCATTCTTCTTAAGCACCAGCAACACAAAGAAGACGCCGTCACCTGTTGCTGTTTCCAAGATTGACAAGAAACTGGAGCAGTACACACATGCTCTCGAGGTAGAACCCCACTGAGTTACTCTTTCCTTTAATGGGAATTTTCCTTTTATTGACTTGAGAAATAACCATGTATTTGGGGGAATTTTTATTGTGCACCATGAAAGTTCTTCCACAAACTGCCAAGTGCAGTTTTACCCTTTAGAATAATATGAGCAACTCTTACATGCTTGTTTTGTTCTCTCACGCTCTTAAAAAAAAACTATAATGGATTAATAGCTCCTCACTGCAACCCCACCACTGGCTAAACTCAGAGAGGAGACTGTTTTGGTGTTGTTACTTGAAAAGGATGTGATCTTAGACCCAGCTCAGATTTTCTGTACCCAGCTTCAGGCTATATCCTCAAATCCTGTACCTCAAACTGTTCTTACTTCATTTTCCTCAGGTCTCCTCAAAGGAAGGCAGATCCGGCGGTCAGGTTCTGACAGATCTGACGAGTCCCACTGAACCCGTCGCCTCCAAGAAGAGCCTGTTTGAGGCCGGAGAAGCCTGGAACCAAAACGCTATCTCAGTCGCAGCATCTAAGGTTAACAGGTTAACTGATGAAGTTAACTTTATCAGTCACATAATCTATAACTTTTCACATCACATCTGATAAATAATTCTTCTTTCTTTTTCTCATGTCTATTGAGGAAGAGTTTAGGAGTTTTTTAAGTGAGATTGTGTAACAGTAACAGCAGCAGCCTCTATGGCCACCAGTGGTAATTACAGGACACCGGCGCATTAAATCCTTTCACACTCACACATCATCTCAATACAAACCGTACAAATGAGGGACTAAGGGGCCGTTAGTCTGCTGTTCACCAGCTTTTCTTTTATTGTTAACTCAGTGTGATTAGATAAGTTTGTCAGTTTCAAGTTTTAATTGTTTATCACTTTCAGAACTTAAAGAAGTCATGAGTTCAGTTGATTAAATATCCCATGGATGGATCGTTTACTTAACTCATCAATTTAAGTTATGTAGAAACATTAATAGGTTAAAAGTAAGATTAGATTAGAGTTATTCTCATGAATTATGGGGGATCATACTGAGGGACATTAGTGCTGGGTTTATTGTCATTTAGTGTGAAGTTTTCATGGGAGATAAAGCTTCACACAATAAATTGTAATTTTTAAAAAATGAATTTAAGTGGAAATGTAAACCTACAAATTGGTGAATACTTTAACTTAGAGTAACTTAACAGAATCAAAAACTTTTGAGTTGTTCTAATGTGTGATGTTACTCTAACATGCAGGAGTAAAAATTGTAAGTTAGACAAACTCAAAGCCAAAACTTAAGAAGTTAAATTGCTTAATTCAAAAGTTCGTTGCCTTAAAAGTTTGACTTTTCTCAACATTGTCTTTTTTATCAGTGTGGAATAGCTCATCCAAACAAATTTGTGTTTTGGAGGAAAATAAACTCACAAACAACCAATAGTTAGTAATTGGGAAGACCGGCCTACCAATAGGTGGTGTCCTTCATGTAAGGCCTAAGCGGGGCACCACCCATCACATATATAATTAAAGTTTCTTTCCTTTGGGCGAGATTTGTTTTTTCATAGTGATGATTTCTTCGTTTCTGTCTCAGGATGCAGACGGGTTAAAAGTCGGTGTGGCTGATCTCATCAATCAGTGGGTGAGAGGAAGTGATGATGGCAGCAGGTGCAGCTCGCCCTCCAAACCAGCAGTAAGTCAGAATTTACCTTCTAATCCTGTGTTTATTTGCATTGTTATCTTGCATTACCTGGTGTGTTTGACAAGATGCACAAAATATTTTACCCCTGCACTGATCTTTTCTCACCAAGTTTCATTTCTGTGACACAAGATTTTCAATAACTGTTTCTGTCAATCTCTTCTTTCTTCTTAGCTTTCCCTTCAACATGTCTGATAACTTTCTCTGTCTTTACTTTACGTCAGGTAATTCTGATTTTGTTTCATGGCTCTTTTCAGTCCATATTATTCTCGGCTCCTCTCTGCTTCATGCAACCACACCCCACACTCCCTCCATGTGGTGTAAATCATCACAACTCAGTTCTGACAAACACTCTGTGAAAGTCTGCCCCCTTGTGGCAGCAGCAGCAGCAGCATCTTACAGTTCATTCACATGGAGATCATTAAAGCAGAGATGACGTTCCTGTATATTGTTGTATTTGCAGGAAATAAAAACCGGTGGTGTTTTAAACAAGAAAAACCTTTGGGAGAGTCTCGGTGACCCATTATCTCCTGGCAAGGATGGAAAGGTACGAACTCACATCAGAATTTGTTGCCTGGTGCTGGTGGATTACTGTTTTTATTACATTTATCAGACAACAGTGTTTTTCCACAGCGGCCTGCAATAAATGAACGAGGCAAATGAGTAATGCTGCAAAATTTCATTCATCCACAGTCAATTCCCCTTATTCAACTGATAGCCTCCTTGAAAACCAGATGTTGCGCAATAAATTAGTCATTTAAGATGTGATTTGAGTCTGTGGTTCCCAATGTGGGGAGTAGGACCCCCTAAAGCAGTTGTTCCTAACCTTTTTGGCTCATGACCCCCTTACAATGAGGCAATGTCTATTTGTGACCCCACTGCCACAGGTTAATGTGAATGTAAATTATGATTAGTTCAAGCAAAGAGCTTTTCATCTGGAGAATTTTCAGAGATGAAAATAGTCAGATTTTGTGACAATGCGTGTAACAGAAATTATCTCAAGATTAATCTGAGAACCGTCACTCAAGGACTGAACGAACAAGAAAAAGATCTGTCCCATAAAAGATATTGCTCATTGATACATTTCCCATATAAATGTGATCAGAGACACTATGAGAGCTGATGAAGAAAATAGAACAAACAGAGAAAAAAGACTCTTCTAGCTCCTGTCTTAAATTAAAATGAAATTAAAGGTCAATATTATGAAGTTATTAAGTTTTAAACTTCTGATCTTTTATTTTTAGGAAAGTTGAATTTTTTTTGGCAACAATAACAAAGATTTACCACAAAGATAAGGAAAAAAACTTATCACATATCAACTTATCACACTTATGCTAATGTATTAAATGCTGGAAAATATGGAAAACACAGGCAGATTTTGGAGCGTAAAAAGTTCAAAGTGATGTTTTGGATTGTTCACATGAGACACTGAATGAAGGAAGAAACTCTGAAGTCACAGCATAAGTGTCTGTAAATCTTTCCATTAACACTGTTTTATCAACTGTATTTCAGGAGAGTTCCCCTGGTAAAAGGTATAAATTTGTCGTGACTGGTCACGGCAAGTATGAGAAGGTTTCTGCTGACACTGAAGATGTGAATTGTCCGTCAGGTAAGGAAGTCCCTCAACCTTAATTCTGTAGCAAAACAATGAAAGATGAAAGGAATGTTTTCTGGCTGTTGTGGATATTATCTTAACACATAGAATTAGTGACACCAATGTTGGTTAAATTTTGAATTTATAAATGTGCAAAGCCGGTGAAAGTTCTTTTAAAATTGATTTAAAATAGCACCAAATGTGGATTAATTCGCCACTGAAAATAGTCCCCAACAAAGTCACTATTTACTCCTGTTTGAATAACTACAGTGCCCAGCTGTATTAAGAAATTAATTAGCCTTTTTAAGAAATGAAAGTATACATTTGTGAGCTAATTTTAAATATTTATATACAGACTAACGCTGCTGGCTTTGGTCTTTTAAACCTTTCAACTATAGCTGTAATTACTTCTGTTGTAACTTGCTTTTAGGATATTTTCCATGCCAGCTGAAGCATTGTGATAAAAAAAAAGAAAAAAAAGAAATACAAAACCACAATTTCACATTCAACTTTATGCATTTTTGAGAATCACACATTAACAAAAATATATTAAGTTTAAGCATCAGTGTAATAAATGGGGCCATAGTTAGCTTATAGGGGTAAAGAAGCCCCTCACGTAAAAGAAATTCCACATCATGATGGTCATCCTGTGGAAAACAACAAATTTTAAAATCCAGTCTAGAGACAAAAAGGGTCAAAATCACCTCTACAACAACATGCTACTACAGCAGCAATATCCTCCGAAACTGTTAAAATATCACATACCACGTGTAACATCTGCCCTCCTCCTCAAACTGTCACTTCATTTCCTTCAGTCTGTCCTCCTACAACAGGCCTCTTCACCATAATCATCACTGGTATTCACTTCCACATCCTTATTACAGTCCTAACTCAGTAATGTTGTTCATGGCCTGGACGATCCATCACAAAACAGGAAAATACCGTCCACCACCAGAACGATGCTTGTCACTATGTTTATCTGTTACACTGACCGGAAATATTATCAGGTCATCGCAGTTGGATGAAAACAATTCATCTCCAACTTTCTGGATCTTAGGAAAACAGTCTCACACATACATACTTTCACATACTCTCATAATACCTGAAAATACCACAATTTTTCCCAGTTTATTCCCAGAGACTTTCTTCAGCTGGCAGAAGAGCTTGAGGTTTGAGTTGAGTTTTCACAAAACACCAGTGATATGGTGAAACAACAATTTGATTGTTGGATGTATTAGGGCTGGGCAATGATGGTTAAAATTTACACCAAAAAGCAATTGTAATGTCAGTTAAAGCACAGTCTGAGTGCAATCTGACTTCCCCTTACAATGTAGTCAATTGGGAACAACAAAACTTTAGAGTCTACAGCCAGATGCTAGGGATCGCCAAAATCATTAGAATTAATCGTCTACAGACCTTGAATATCTGTAGCAAACTTCATGGCAAACCAGCCAATAATCGTTTAAATATTTCATTCTGAACCAAAGATATCAATCTCATGGTGGTGCAACAGGAAAAGTCAGAGGATCACTAGGATTCATCCTCTGGGGATGATGAATGTTTATACAAAATTTCTTGGCACATTTGTGCCAACATTTGTTGAAATATTTCAGTCAAGACCAAAGTGGCAGACCAACCAACAAACACACCCAACATTTCCAACCCTCAAGACGCTAGAAACTAAAATATCTAAGCACCTATAAATCGGATACCAGACTCTGTACCATCATATGTTCTGTCATCATAAGAGGTTTTAGTTACCATGTTGCCCAGCCTCAAAATGTACCAGCATGTGTGGTTGTAGTTTCCTGCCCTGATCGAAAACCCAGATATATATCCCACCACATTGCCATCCATACCTGACTTGCAGAAACCTAAATCTTTTCTGACTAGACCTCTACCCTTCATTCATCTGTTCTCCATCATTCAAAACCCATCTGCCCTGTTGTCCAGGAATGTAAAAGCCCTATTTATTACAGAGATTAAAAACTGCCTACCAGCGGTGTACACTAAAAGCCTCACTTTGTTTAGAAAAATAGAAAAAGATAGAGCATGACAAATGAAACAATCTTTTACCTATCAAAGTATCTACAGTTCATGCATTCAACACTACATCCAATCTAGGCCATCATCAAATGAAAAAAGAAAAATCTAACCAAGTACAGTTGCAGAGTGTTCCTTGCTTTCTTTGCCTTAACTTTTCATCTTTGTTTTATTTTTTTATTAAAAGTGCAAAGACGCCACCCGTGTATCACAGCTGTAGTAATATTATTGACCTCTAAAAGCTATCACAGGTACTTATACACTAACTACATCCTCAATAAACACAAATGATGAGAACATCAGAAATATACCATTATTTTACATTGGGATGAATTTTGTTTTAGTGAAATTTCTTTGATTTAAAAGTAAAAATTCAAAGACCAATTGGGTCAAGTAGCTCGTGATTAAGCAGTAATCAATAATGCTTTTAATCTTTTTTTCCCCTTTAGAATAATCTACCTCCTCACTGTAGCCCAAATTTATAAAAGTAACTTCAGCTATTCTATTGCAGAAATGCACAAATGGTTTTACATTTATTATCTATTTTCTTCCAAATTCTCTTCAGATGATTCCTTTCCTATGAGGCTCACTCGCCTAGCTGAGATCAATGCATCTTTTTTATCTGTTGATGAATTACACAACAGAGAAATCTTTTATCAATCCTGAACATACTTCTGCATCATTTCAAATCACATAGCTGAACTTTATTTTGGATTGAATCCTCTGGCTGTTCTGTTGAAGTCTTTGTGTTCATCCTCCTGAGTTTTGCGTTTTATCAAACCCCTTTCAAACACTGCTGCTATTTTTGTGAGCGGCTTCTCTGCTGCCTCTTTAAGCTTCCTGGCATCAAAACGTGGACTGTAGAGTAAAATTGGCAGGCGATTGACAAAAGAGGGAACTTCTGCTTGATTGTCTTTAGAGGCCTTTTTCTTGTCTGAATCTTTCTTGGTGGTGTTGATATGCTGCATTATTCTCTCTTTGGTGGAGAACATCTGAAAGAGGAGGGCGTCCCACATCTTCAACGCCTTGGGACCTTCTTTGTCCTTCACCATGACATCCTGATTGGCACATTGGTCTGTTGACGACTCTTCACTACCAGCTTGATCTGTTTTCTCATTGCTGCCACTGGCATCAACCTGAGATTTAGCCTCTGGTTCTGGAAACGTAGGTTCCTCTGGCTCAACAACCATGTGTTTTTTGAGCCGTGTCCACCCGCTGAGCTTACCCTTAAGGCCTTTCAGCTTCTGGGCTGCCTTCGGCTCAGTGGATGAAGGGGGTGTCTTTGCAGTAACGATCTTCTTGTCAGAAGTTGAAGATGCAGTTGATGTCGCTGACTTCATGGAGGGTTCGGCTGCTGGGGCTTCCGTCGGTGCAGGTGTAGTTTTGGTCTTCAGAACGTCCTTGTCCTTCAGTCCAGTTTTTTGTTGAGATGGCGGTGACATTCCTCTGTTTGGGGATGGAGCTTTGACTGAGACTGAGGCCTGAGGCAGAGAGGCAGGAGTGGCAGAGTCAATCACAGCAGCTTTAACTATGGGCGGTTTCATGACAGTATCTGTTGCTGGCTCTGCAGGGGAACTGTTCTGTACTGGTAGCTCTGTCGCAGGCTGAACATTACTGATGTGTGAGCTAATCTGGACCAAATCGGAAGGAGACCTTGAGAAATCGCTTTTTACAACTGAGGGTTTCGTTTCTACAGTGGCAGAGGAAGGTCTTGATTCTATCTGCTTAGTGTGAAGTTTTGCTTTTAGAGAAGGTTTACTGGTATTATCGGTCAAAGGGATAGGACTAGCTTCGATTTTCAGTGGGGAGAGTTTTCCTTCCTTATTGGAATTTGATTCTATGTTTGTTTTTACCTGTTGTGTTTGGGAATGTATTTTTACCTCAGGGCCTGAAGAGTCCTTAGTTGTGGGTGATTTTATGTCGAATTTTGAGATATTGTCTGTGAATGATTTAGTAGAAGGCTGAACAGCAGTAGTGGGTGTATTATTTTGAAGAGGTTTGATGGGAAGGTTAATCTGGTCTTTCATAACGACTGATGAGTGTTTTGTTTCTGTAGTATGATTTATAGAGATAGGAGTTTGAGGGCACTGTGGTAAGGTTGGAGTACAGGTCCGTGTAGGGGTTCTACACACTCTTGGCTCGGGTAGAGGGGAAGCTCTGGTTGCAATCCAAGGTTTAGCTACTGTACGGGGGCTAAATGGGGCTTTAAAATCTCTGTTGGTTTCACTAAGGGGCTGAATATTTGTAGCAGCGTAGTTACTTAAAGCAGGTTGTAAGGGGATTTGAGTATGAGTGTTAGTTTCTATAGATTTCTTTGTTTCAGTAACATATTGCTGAAACTGTTTCACTCCAGTCTGTGAGGTCACTAAATTTGCAGAGGATTGAACATTATCTTCAGACAGCATCATATGACCTGGCATTGTAATGGTTTGCTGTTCTACACTGGTATTAGATATGTTAGCTGTGATATAACCAGTGGAAATGGAAGTTGTTGTCTCAGTACTGGATGTTACAGAGTGTTTAATTTTTGTCTTTGGACTTGCTAAAAATTTATTGTCAATAATTGGCTGGATGAAAGGGGATTGTTCTTTTACATTAGTTTTAGTTGTAATTTGAGATGCAGATGTCTCAGATGATCTTTGCACATGGTTGGCAATGTGTTCACTATCTGCTTGTGAGTTTGTGTATACTCTTGGTTGGGCAACAGAGCCAGAAACAGATTTTGCATCAATGGGTAGTTTTGTTTCAGATCGACTCTCAGCTCTCCCTGTTCTCATCTGAGGGCTTTTTGGTGGGACATGCCTCATGGTAGGGCTAGACGGCACGGTTGGTTTGCTGACCTGCACAGTATTAAATGTTGGTTTACTGCTCACTGCTGGATCTGTCATCATTGGCAGAATACTTTCTGTGTGAAGCTTGTTCTTGACTTTGATTTCAGTAGCAGGAATACTGTGAGCATTGCTGCCCAAACTGGATTTGTTTGACTGTTCTGCAGTAGATCTGCTGTGTTGGACAGCCTCTACACCTGCTGGTTGTCCAGGTGAGACTGTGTCTGTGGAAGACTTGTTGACAGTTATTAATCCTGCACATGGTGCAGTGTTGGTTAGTTTGGCTTCACTTCTAGGTACAGTCAGTGCCACATTTCCTTTTGAAAGATTAGAAGCTAGTTTTGTTTGAATGTTTTCTGCTCTAATAGGTGTAGTGGGAAGATGCTCTGTTTGCATTTTCCCAGCCAGTAAACTGATTCTTTGATTGGTGAGTTGTGGATACCCTTCTGTGTCTACTGTTGAGCTGCTGACTCTGTTAGTGTTACTGTTAATATAAGCCGGATGTTTGGCTTCTATATTTGCTTGGCTAGACAGTATTGCATCTTTAAAAGGGATATTAAGGGTGGTTTCAGTGGCTTGTGTAATCTCTGTTGTAGTTCTGCTCAAGTTTTTGTAGAAATGTAGTCCTTGAACAACTTTATCTCGGCCACTGGGTCCTATGCTACTCGGTGTGCTTACAAGTACATTCTCAGTAACTTTGGTTGGCTTTTGGGGCTCTTTTATTGGCACATTTGATGAGCCGGTCTCTAAAGGGAATTTAATGTCTGATATATTGGGTGATTTGGTTGCAATGATGGATAGGCCTGGAAGTTTGATTTCTGTGGTAGGTTTACCCAGTAGTGTAGTATTTACAGCAGATTGGTTTGGTACAGTTGGTTCTTTAGACGATTTCAAAGAGAGACCTGCTCCAGGAAAATTTCTCTTTTTTTCTGCTGTTTGACTATGACTGTAAATTTGAGTTTCTGCACTGAGCTGTTGTATGAATTTGGTGCTTTGCTTTGCTGCAGACACTGTGCAGATACTGGACTGTGCAGAACATACAGAAGCTGTGACAGGCTCATGTGGCAGCATAGATTCTGTGGTAACAACAACTGGTTGTTTAGAGACTATATTTGATAATTGGGGCTCAGTGCTTGTTTTGTCAAGAATATGTTCTGTATTAGCAGCTATAGATGGCAAAATGTTCCCTACATTTGTCTTATTGGGTAGAATAACCTCGCTGCTTTTTTTGCTTTGCTGGTTAACCTTTTCCCTTTGATAAGGTAAGATGGTTTCAGTAACCACCTTACTGGACAGTGGTGTTTCTGAAACCAGTTTGGATGCTTGTTTTATTTCTAAAATGAAGGCATCATTTATGATGGCACTTCCTGGGAATTTGGGCTCTAACTTTGTAGCAAGGGATTGAACAACCAGGTTTTTTTGGTCAGGCTTTGCAGTGAGTTGAACATTGAAACCATTGACTGTTGATGGACTGACTTCACCAGCAGTTTGGTAAGATTGGACCGGCACTACCTCTATTTGTCCTGACTGTTGTTTTGCATTTGTGACCTTGAATTCTCCTTTTGCAGGTGTTTTGTCAAGATTGTCACCATTCCCTATTGCATTTATCCCTTTTGCACTATGCTGTTTTTCTGCCATTGAATCTACTTTCACTAAAGGCGAGAAGGAACTCAACAGACCACTGCTATCAGTCAGGCATTGCGTTTTATTTAGTGCTGCCTCTATAGAAAATAGTTGTGTGTGTACCTCACCTGCTTTAGGTATTGGTATTGGAGCCTCAGAGTATGAGGCTTTTGGTGTGGATACATCACTTGTGGATTGTTGCATTGTTTTCTGTGCCAAGCCAAGATGGAACTCAGGTTTTATTGTGTCCATGCTAGACAGTTTAAGTGATTGTATTCCAGTACTGTGAGCTTCAGAGTGACTTTCCTCAAACACATCTTTGCTACATGTGACCGTCCGTTCAGGTGGATGCTCTGAATCCTTTGGAGATGACAGAGTTTGTAAACTCTGAGCAGCAGAAACCTCCACTGAAGCAGAAAGGTCTTGATGCCCATTGAGTTGTTGTGTTGCATCATACTTTGAGATGTGTGATTCACCAACAGCTACTTCTGACTGTGCTTTGTTTGATGAGGTTTCATTAACCCTGCAGGGTACAGGACTGTGATGAGATGAGATAGTCCTAATCCCGCCATAGGCAACATACTCAGCTGGAGTAAGCCCGTAATATGTTGATCGTGATTTGGGCTTTGAGGTCGCTAATGACATTTGAGTCTCCAATAGTGACGACAAGGACTTGCGTGCCTCGAACACAGGAGGTCGATTAGTGGACGACATGGGACTTGGACTAATTGGTGCTTGCAATGAAATCACTGGTGTAGGGTTTAGATCTGAAGTCTTTGGTACAGAGAGAAATGATGGAACCTTTGGCAAAGGTGAAGCTTCACTTTCTGCAACTTCATATGATTTTAATTTTGGGGTGATTGCTTCTATCAGTGTTGGTTTGACCACAGCAGATTCAGGTGCACTGATACTTGATGCTAAATTCTCTCTGTGGTACAGCCCTGTATTGGCAATGCTGAGATTTACTGTACTTCTTTGAGTTTGTTGAATCTCTATCTCTTTATTATTGCTGGCTTGTTTGATGGAAGTCATGTGATTAACATCAGTTTGCTCCAGTTCTTCTGTGGCAGCAGGAGGTTTACTTGTACCACTAGTTTGAACTGCTGATTTGTGTCGTAGAGTCTCGTTAGGAATAGCAGGAGCTTGCGGATCTTGGGAGCAGTTGAAAGCTGGACTTGCAGCAAATAAAAGCGGATTAGGTTTGGATATTTCAAATATAGGTGTGGATACTTGAGCCGGTTTACAAGAGGGGGTCTTAGGTCTTCCACTTTGGGTCCTGGACACAGACAGTTTCTGATCAGTTTTCACTGCTGACACAACTGTTTTGTCCCCGTGTACAGCAGATAATGATTCTCCCTGGTAAGTAGCGTTTGTTACTGTAAGGTCCTGGATGGAGGGAGGTTTAGAGATTTCATAAAATGTTGCCTTTGATGTATAAATCCTGGTTTGTTGGGCAGGTCTTGTCTCTTTCACTGCTTCAACAAGTGATATTTTTGAGGCTGTTATTTCAGGCGACATCTGGCTTGGTACAAAATTGCCATTACTGGTAGGTCTGGCAGTCCAAGATGATGTCTGGTTCTGAGGGCTGTCCTTTGAAGCGGTGTTTGTCTCCCCCTGGCTGGGAATAAAACGTTGTGTCTGGGTTTTTGAAAGTGATAGCAGCACTGGAACAGGAGGTAGGTCTGCAACTTGAGAAGGTGCTGGGCCTGGGCCACAGTTGGGGGTCAATGGGAATAGGGTCAGGCTGTGAGTTGATATTTTAGGGCTGGACTGCGACACAGCGACTGAAGGGACTGTTGTGACTGACCCATGGGAATTTGGTGTCATGTTTAAATTGACACCAGAAGGAGGAGGTGGTGCTGGGACCTGTTCAGGTGGTGATAGGGGTGGTGAAGCCAAAGGTCGCATCATCAAAGGAGTCGCCTCATCAAATAAAAACGAGGAGCACTCATACAGTGGAGCCACCAGCTCTTCAGAAGTCCTGTTCTGAGCTGTGTAGGACTGAGGGGGCAAGCTGCCAGTTTGACCATAGGGGTTGCTCTGAGGATGAGGGAATGCAGGTGCAGAGTGATCATAAAGGGAGCCAAAGGGGAAACTGGACACTGAGGAGTCTGCAATGTAGACTGAATCTGGTGTCCTTGGTGGGCTGGACTGGTCACTGTGCTCGAGGTCTGTGCTTGCTTCGTTGACAGGTGACAAACAGGAGCGAAAGGGGATGGGCGTCTGAGACAGACTGCCTTTTTTCTTGGCTCTCTTCTTCTTGAGTTTCTGAAGCCTCGCATTGTCTTTGCCTGGTTTTGGCAGCAAGGGCGGAGGATATTGCTGGGAAAGGTCAGGCTCCAGCCCGTTAGTGTAGCTGACTTCCATAAGCATTTCAGACTCCTGCAAGACAGATAAGAATTCTCAGTCTATCATATTCAAAACATATATTTATATAATAACAGGAAAGCAATCAGCAATCAAATTGTTCTTCAGAAGAGCCAGTCATGCAAACATTGTTTTCATCGTATTTGCTTGATAACAAATATGATTTATAACAAATAAAAAATATTTCTAACATAATTTATCGTCAATCTAATAATGAGCCAGAGTTTTCCAAAAAATCTGAGCCAAGATCCAACAAAATGTCTCATGAAGAGCTCCATTACTCGTTACTCATCAACTTGAAGACACTGATGACATTGATGACATTGATAACTGTTTTGGCATTTGTTTTATGGCTTAAGAACTAAATTATTAAAACTTCAGAGCAGGAATTGGATGAGGTGTCATGTGATGTTCTCAATCACAGAGCAGAAATGTTCAGGAGTTTTGTTTGCAAGACATCTCACCAGCAGGCAAAAAAATCACTGAGTCTGTTTTGTTATTACTTATAGATATAATGATAAAGGTCATTTATTGTGTTCATATGAGCAGTATAAATGCTGATAATCTTTTTTTTTTCTTTACAGATGGACAGTTCTATGAGGATTTGTGAAACACGTCTTGGACTTTGAAGAATTTTGGATTATGAAAGAAAAAAACTTTAATACTGCACAAATTTTAGCCACTATCACTCAAGCCTTAGATTGGAAATGCTCTTAAATCCTGTTGTAATGATAAATTTCCTTCAACAGTCTGTTATCATTTTACAAAAGGTAAAAAGGTAGGGAGTCTTTTCTCTGTTTAAACTGGACAGGTATTTCATTTTATCCTGTGAATAATATCTCATGGTTCTTCAGCAGTAGCATATCTTTGAATAAGATGAAATAAAATCAATTAAAAGGGTTCCTGGTGTTTGATTCCTCAATATTTAGCTCTCAGAAAGTATGTGTCTCTGCCTCCATCCACTGTGTTCCCTGTATAGTTTATTCAGCTGCTTACCAACTGCACTGATTTAACCCATGCTAATGGCCCTGAGACAAGTCTGCAGCTGACTTTAGAGAACTATGAGCTCGCATGACAACGGGCTCATTAGCAGGTTTTGAAACTCTTAATTGGGTCCTGAAGATGTTGCATGGCTACAAGAAGCGTCACTGGTGGAAATAGAAAGGCATGTAGCCTTATGGCTTATGGCAAGGCTACTTTGAAATGATGACAAACTACTTATGAAAATAGTCGCTCAAGGAGACTGTCAAATTTAAAAATGACCTCTGCACGAAATAAAAGTAAATCCAAAGGAAGATGATACAGGAGGGTGGCAAGGGTCATGCATGGAAGATGGGTGTTTGCATTTAGCTGGTGTTCATAACCAAAAAAACTTAAAACATGAGCAGCAGTAAATGGGGTTCAAATTCCTTGGTAATTGACATTACAAGCAAACAATAAGAAGGAGGTCAAAGGTCAGAGGCATAATTAACTGACAATAAACGTAACATGCAACAGACATCCCTGTGCATCCGGGATCATATGAGACAGAGGTGCATCAGAGCTACAGAGGGAGTTGAACTTTGATGCACATATTGTATGAAAACTTACATAAAAAAGATAATTAATACTCAAATTTTATGAGAGTCAGTTGGTTGTGTTTACTATATAATATAGAGTACATTTACTTGGTTGTCTTGAGTGTCAACGTGGGCTGAATTGTTCTCTTTCAGTCTGAATATTGGAGTATCTTTGGGTGACACTAGAAAAGGGCCACAGTCTAATTTTACACTGAGGGAAATAAGAGCAAACATCCTGACACCGAGCACCTGCTGCCTGCTGTCCCACTCTCACACAAACAGCCTCAGTCTGCTGGAAATCAATCCGAGGACCAAATCCTCTCAGAGCTGCTCTGACCGTCAGCTTAGCCTCGTGTTTCGGAGCGATGATTCTCTTGAATTTTCATTTATGACATATTCACACCGGTTTGGTCAGCAGGATAATCAAATCTAACTGGGTGTTTACTGAAAGTTTGACAATCTCTGACTGACAAGATTATAAAAGCTCCAGTGTAGAAATAACTCCTGTGAAGTGTGGTCGCTGTGAATTGAAACACCCTGAGATGTTTATCTTGTGTAGAGCAAATGTTTAAAGTGAATCGCTGTTGTCAAAGTGACTCCTGCAGTCACAGTGACAAGAAGGCCAGCTGACACATGAGATGTCCCCCTTTTAAGGCTCTGGGGTTGGATATCTGGGAGGCTTCCACTGGTGCAGCTCAAAAGAGGCAAGTATAAGATTAGCCTTGAGATAAAACTGTGCCATGACCTCAATCTATCCACCTTTGCGGAATTCAATTAAACAAAATCGAGGGCCAGCTTTTCATCAATCATCAGGTTGTTATATTACAAATCGGAGCAACACTTACCTGCAGTGGAAACAGGTTTTGCTTGTGTTTTGCTGGACAGGCTGCAAAACAAACAGTGTAAGCGTAAGAAAGGGGGAATAGAGACACTTTATTTATCTACAATTTAAAACAATAAGTGGGAAAAAAAGGCCAAAAAAGGAATACAATTATAATTGAATGTGCTGGTGTGCAGGTTTTTATAATGGCTGACTCATGCTTACATTTACCTGCCATAGCACAAAATTGTGCCGAAGCAGACAACATGGTAAACAGTGCATTGCAAGCCCTTCCTCTCATGGATATATTTTTTGATATGCATCATGCGTTTAAGATTTCAGATCGTGCACGTGCCAGTATCAAATCCTATGCACCCTTTGCAAGTTAGCACCTGGCTAACGGGTCCGGAACACACTGCAGTACCACCAGCTTGTCAATCAACAGACACTGAGTTTGACTGGTTTACCTTCGGCGAGCGGCTGTCGGGACAAACTGCTCTCTGCTTGTTAATCCCGGCTCAGAGTGCCACAGGGCCGTCTCATCCTGAAGTGAACTACAGCCTTAGGGAGCGAGCCACAGTGCCCGTGGCCGCTCCAAAAATAAAACTGTTGCCTTCAGTGTGTGTTGCAGGGGGCAGATGGGGGTTTCCAGGCCACCTGAGCTGGCCGATGTGCAGCCCCTACAGGCAGTCGGCAGCCTCCTCCACCTGAGGGAAGGTGGTCACCTGTGTCGGCTCAGCAGACCGCAGGGGGACAACCAGCATGTGAGGAGGACATGAACCCTTCACATGGCATCGATAATTGTGGGGTCACTGCTTTTTAACCCAGCCCTTCTGTCACACTGTTGTTTGCAATTCCCCCCTTAGTACTGTACCTTTAACTCCCTGCTGCAGCTTCTCACCATACTCAGGCTTCAGGAACTGTGACAAAGCTCTTTTTTGAAAACAGATGTCTTTTAAGCTTCTACAAAAACAGTAATCACAAAACATTTATTATCTCTCAAGTTTGTCTTTTTAGAAGTATTTTTATGTGTGACTATATTGTTAGCTTTCTGTTTTCTTAAAAAAGCGCTGATGATCACTGACAATCAATATTGTTCCATGTTGTTGCAGTGCAGCCTCCGACCACCTGTGGCAGTGTTGTGCAGCACAGAGCAGCAGCACTTCATTCAGTGCAAATTTATGCACCTTGGATTTCTTCCAAAAGCTTGTCAAGAGAGCTGTGTGGGGTGATTGGCCACAATACACATCCCCCCATTAAACTGTTACATAGGCCAGTTGGCTGTTGGTGAACCAGGCCTATCTGAGATGATGAATGACCACCAACAACAGGTTTGAGAGCACTCATGCAAGTGCACTAAGTTCATTTTCTCATATTAAACTTCTGTATATACAGATATACAGACTAATCAAAACTGTATTGATTGATTTTGGTCTCTAGCTAAAAACTAGCTGACAGAGAAACAGCCACCATCCTGCCAGCAGCTTACATAGTCGTGGGATGTAAAATGTTAGCAAACAATTAGCAGTAGCAACAGTTTCTGTCCTGACAAATTTAAGTCCAATATCCAATCCTTTAGCTCTGGTGTGGTCTCAGCAGGCGATAGAATCAGGGCTGTCTGATAGCAGCAGAGGTCTGAACTGTTGTTGTACAGGATGCACTTATCTTCTATGGGTCAGAGAAGTCCAGCTTGGTATCAGCTGCTTCAGTCATGCTTCATCATGAGTGGCTCATTCACCAGCTGTTTTGCTATCAGCTGACTTCTAATGTCCAGTAATGTTCATTCAGCCATTAAAATGTAACACTGGAGCAAGAGACAGGGGTGGGACTAATCTCTCATTCAGGAAATACTGACTGTTCATAACCTTGTGTCATGATTTCAAATGAATCCAAGACTACAGACAATACTGATTGTTGTGAATGCAAAGACAGTGACAGGGATTAATATGTTTGATAAAATGCTGTATAATTTAAAACATTGTGGACTGCTGTTGTTAGCCCTCTAGCCATGCTAGCTCCCACTATTTATGTTTAAAGCTCAATCCATATTTTCCTGTCCCCTCCTGCTTTGGAACACGCTTGTAGATTTTGCCAGATGGATTTTGATCTGACTGCACACTCGCTGGAGAGGACTGTGGATGTGCACATCACAGGACGTTGGTTAGATAAGATTTTGGTTTCATTCAGTCCACCCTTACGCTTTTCAAGTCATGCTTTTCATGTGTGATAAGATACAATCTTTTTTTTTTGTACCAGAAAAGCTTGCAGAGCAATTTTCACTAGTTTTACAACCCTGACTTGTGCCTTTCAGGCTGCAGGTACAACCTCTACCAATCACAAGATGGAGCAGCAGCCTTCAAAAGTATGTGAGCCTGAGAGGCAAAAGCAGGGGCAAAAAAGTCTATAAATAGTTCACTACTTGCAAAGTATAATTAAAAAAAGACCTAGATCAACATATCAACATTTTTATCATCTCCTTTCTTCTTTCCTCTGGATTTGTCACCTGGACAGTTTGAAGATTCTGATTAGAGAAATATTAGTGACTAAATCAAACTGAAACCTTAACGTGGGGGGCACATGTGCCCCCACATCCCCAGTGGAGATTACACCCTTGTGTGATGGTACGTATTTGCTAATACAAATTGGGTAATACACCCACCCAGTCATAGCAAGGCCTGCAGCTGTGTTCAAGGAGGGAGCTACTTCTGTAACGGCCTAAAACTGAGACCCACCACCAGCCAACACCGACTGAATCCAACTGTTGCTGCTCAACTTGAGACCTGATCACTTTGGATGAGCAACAGAAAACCTGAAGGTCCACACAGGCCAAATCTGCATATTTGGACTGATTGCTTAGCAGAGATTTTTTGTTTAGTTATTGTTGGTTTATTGAAAACATAACCAGGCTTGTTAGCTATGAATGAATCTATAAACTGGCGTAGGTTGGCATGTAGTACTTATAGTACCTGCTATTGTCTATTTTCATTTATTTTTAGGATTCTGTTTTTAGTTCTATTATTATTCTATTATTCTGTTCCTCTGAAGTGTACTCTGAGTGCCTGGGTGATTGAATGGCTAGTTGATGAAGTGGCTGACAAACACACACACACACACACACACACACACTTTCCCTCTATTGTCTGGATGCCAAGCTGATGTGTAACTCCCCCTCTCAGCCTTCTATCACTGTAAATTTAGCAACAGAAGCTTCTCAGCTGCTCCTTTCCTAAACCTGAGCCCTCCTCTTCCATCCACAGTATTTCATCCATCTCCTTCTCCAGGGTCATGGCAGCACCCCCCACCACCGCCCACTCCCACCCACCCCTTCTTTTCCCACCTTTTCCAACATAAACATATATACTACACACACACACACACCTCACTCTCATCCCGCAGCCAATAAGGGCCTGATGAGCTCAAGTATCACTATAACACAAGGACTTATTCTCTGAGCAGAGGCTGCAGATTCTTACAGATCTTCATCTTCATCGCCGGAGGAGCTTCTCTTCCCCTCT